CAGCACTCCTGTGAACCCCCGAGAGCCATCCCCGCTCTTGGTGCACACATCGGATCAGCACGACCACAGCAGTTAGAAATGTGCTTCCCGGACGAGCACCCTCCTTCTAGAGGGCGAGGAGAGGGGGTGCTCTCTGCTCTGTTCAGACCCATCCCACCACTCACCCAAAGGGCGTATATTTTCTTTGGGGAGGGGGAACTTTAAACCATTGCTGCTTCTTGGATTCACGTGATCCAGCTGGTGCCGCACATACGAGCACAGCCAGCCTTGGAGGCTTCCAGGAGTCCTGTGGGGTGGCAGAGGTGGACAGCACTCCTCCCGAGGACACGGCTGAATGTGCAACCGCTCCTCTGAATGTCACTGTAGCCAAACTCTTTACCAAGCCTATCGTGCACTGTTAAAGACTCTGAGGCCACTGTATGGTTCTCAATGGTGTCTAATTGATGCCTTAAAATACACAAGCAGAAAATCCCAGCTAAGGGACAGGGCCTGGAGGAGGTGAGGTTTGGAGACAAGACTGGATTCAGCATCCCGAACCCTCCGGTGTTTCCATGCTCAGCTGGCCCCACCTCATTCACTGAGATCCCAGCTGACCGTTGCTCTGGGGAGTCCCCAGCCAGGCAGATGGGTTGAACGACCGTGTTTTGCGTCCATGCCACTGCTGTCCCAGGTTCAGGTGACTCTGCGGCTGCCTGCTCTCTGCACGTGGTCCTGGGTCACAGTTTGGCTGGGAATGGATCGGCCTGTTTGCTGTTCCTCTCTCTGCAAAGCAGATCCTGGGTTTGTGGAAAGGTATCGGTTCTTAAAGAAGAACAGTCCAGCCTTCTAAATGAGGAGGATTGCCTGGCGTTACTTTTTTTGGGTGGTTTTTTTTGCCTTTTTTTATTTGAATGCTAATATTTTAATTTTTAATGACTTCATATCCCTTTATTTTTTACACTGTCCTGGTATTCCGCATCCCATCTGCTTTTAAGGCAGCAGAAGGGATGCAATTACTTTTCTCATTTGTTGATGAGATGATGACTGTCCTGGAAGACGTTCTCTATAGATGTGTGGGTGTGTGTGCACGTGTGAAATACCGTATGTACAACGAAAACAGCATGGAAGGGACCATTTGCAATTAGCAACTCCCTGGCAATTAAGCAACCACTTTAATTAACAAAAGGTTGAATAAATTAGTACTGTAAGTCATAGGCCTGTCCTAGACCCGCCTGTGCCATGGAACCTCTTGGGTGGTGTTCTCAATGCATATGCTGTAGGGTGTGTATGAGCCTTGAAGCGAGACATACTATCAGGTGTTCTCCACATTATAGAGGAATGACTCAACCCCTGGTACCTCAACAGTGTTCAAATGTAGCATTGGAAATATGGCCTAACTGTTTTGAACTAATTCCTTTATCCTTTTTTTCCCTGCTCCTTCTCAATTCTCACTTACAGAGTTCAGATTTCACTTGTGATGGTATTTGTTGGCCTAAATTTTCAAGTGGCTAGAGATTTCTTCTTTTTTCTTTGGGGTGAAAGGAGAGTTTGAGACGAGATAGGGACTCCCCAGCTTAAGACAATTTTTACAGTGATCTGATTTCTCCTGGACAGGTGCCTGCATGTTTTACAAGCCCACTTACAGTGCCTAACGTTGGACACCTGAAATTACCAGCAGCTTCTGAAAATCTGGGCTGCTTCTCCCCCCCAGCCTCTCCCCAAGGACAGTCTGGGCTTCGCAGGCTGAGGCGGCCTTCTTGGCTTTTAGAACAGACTCTAAATCTGCTTTTCATTCCCCTCTCACTTGCCAAGCCTCTGCCCCAGCCTGTCCCAACTCGGGAGCTCTCCCATTCCTCTGTATTGCAGAGGACCCTGCAAATGTCCAGGCTCTGCTCGTGCAGGTTGCCTCTTGGTCAACGTGGCAGTAGGGCTGCCCTAAGTGGGTCACGTCAATCTGCTTCGGTTGAAGAAACCATGAAATTGGTGAAGTCTGCTCTGTTGTGTGCGTGTGCCTACGCGTGAGCGAGGTCTCAATCCTTTTCTTCCCGTTCCTATAAGCAACATCAGGATTTTAGTCTTCTGCTGGACTCGTATCGACCAGCGTGTTCAAGGTGCCCTTGGCTCTAGGGTCCTTTTTGAAGGAGGATCAGCCTAAAAGCCCCACGGCTGTGTCAGAAGTGAAAGGTGCTGGCGCTGATGGAGAAGCAGGGCTGGTTTCTAACAAGGAATGAGTCATTATAGCCGTAGCTCGGCTTCTGGTCCAACTGTGGCTGCTGTAGCGTGAAGGGATGCTGCCGTCTTAGTGGGGCGGCAGGCAGGCAAAACCAGAGGGGAAGCAGGATTGTAGCAGGCTGAGGAGAATTTTTGTGCCGTGTGCCCTTGGCCCTAGTTGTAATCTTTAGCAATTTATACTACAAATGGTGTGCAATGCTGTCCTGCCTCTTGAGGATCAGGGAAACAGGCAGTGTGACTCCTGTCACCCACCGGTTGGGTCCTGAGCAATATCACCACTGAGCCTGTTCTGCAGAAACCTGGGGAGGAGGGAGCCTTTTGTGTCTCTGTACTAACTATGCAGGTGCTCACTGCTTTCCTGTAAAGGAGAAAGAAGGAAGGAAAGGGCAAAATAGTTCCCCAGCAGCTTGCGGGGGTCCAGAGCACCCCGACCCACACTGTGTGGACACGAGGTGTCAGCATCTGCCCTGGGAGATCCCAGGGTGGAATTGCTTCTGGTGCTGCACATCCCTTGCTGAGCAGGAGGCCTCGGAGGGGATGTGCGTCTGTGTCTGTCTGTCTGTGCGTAGTACCCTATCTGAGGGGAGGAGAACTGTCAACTGTGTGTGGATTCTCTGCCAGTTTTAGTTAGTGGTGTCTCGCCCAAAGTGTTATTTGTGCGATTTCCCATGTGAGCTTTTCCCAGCGGAGGAGCATCCCTGAGCGGGTGGCTCCGGGCTGTGTGTGTTGATGTGTTTCGCCCAGGGACCCTGGTGTCAGTCTGCAGTCAGACGGCAAGGCTAGGCAGGAGCCTTTGCCCCGACGTGGGGGGAGAGGTTTGCTTGGCCTTACTGGTAGGCAGACTCGGTCTACTCCATGTCAAACCGTTGTCACTTTGATTTCTCTGTAAGTTATCTGACTTATTTATGTGGAACTCTGTTTCTCTGAATTTTTTGCACTACATGGGATTGGGGAAGGGATACAAGCAATAGAAGACAACATGTACAATAAAGACGTTTTCTTGAATACCGGATCCTGCCTTTTGCATCCTTCCTGTTCACTTCTCTGGCCCCGCTCCTGTGGAGGCAGGGAGCTGCTCTCTGTATTGCCCTGTGCAGAGGAGGGGAAGGAGCCCCAGGCAGAGGGTACGTGTGGCAGGCTGCTGCGGGGCATCTGTGCCTGAGCAGCCACGGATGAGATCTCGTCTGCCTGGGCGCAGTTGCTTCAGGCTTCGAGGCTTTTACACAGAGCAGGGACAGGCACCCGTCTGGTGGCCACTTCAGACTGGCCCTGCCATTGTGGACATTGACAGAGGAGCCAAAGCCAGCTTTGAGGGAACTGCTGCACCACAGGTGAGCTAAAAGGAGCAGCTCTTAGCCCAGGTCCTGGCCCCACACTCAGCTGGTGGGTGCTGAGAAGTTGCTGTCCGGCGGACAAGGTGCTCTGTATTTTCAGAGAGGGTGCTGTGCTGGGGCTGTCCGCCTCTCTATGCACCTTCACCCTACGCCAGAGAAAGAGCAGGGCAAAGATGCTGAGAGCATTGGAGACTGCTGGGAAAAGCCCAGCCCAAGGCATAGGGGCTTTAGAGGCAGACTGATTTACACCTCTCCCTGCCGTTAAATTCTAGTTTGGTCTCCCTAGGACTCCCCATCTCCAGTGCCGTTGACAGCTTTTCGCTGCAGTGGAAATGAAAACCAGATTAGAAACATCCTCCTTTACCTCCAGCTGCCACATGCGTCTTGCCTGGGGGCAGGCGTTGCCTGCGGGCAGGCGTAGCTGCCTGGCCCCGTTCAGCAGCAGGGAGGCTCTGCAGCAGATCGTGTCAGCCTGCGCTAGCTCCTGCCAGTCACTGCTGCCGGTGGGAGAAACACTAAACCCATTTCACGGTGGTGGGAGTGCAGAGGGTGAAAAGAGCAACGAGAAGCTGCGTGGCAACATCCCACGGGGCCTGGAAGGGAACTTTCCCATGCGTGTGTACTGCAAGCCCCGGGGTTAAGCCAGACTTGGCTATAAGCCTGCAGTGTCCTCTTTCTCGCTGCTCTCTAGGCTCTTGCTTCTGTTTCGGGCTTCTATAAATAACTACAGTGCTGCAAAAGTCTTTCCAAAGTCTGGAGCCTAACTGCTACCCCAGCCCTGGAAGCAGAGGTCCAGGAGGGGTCCAGGAGGGCAACTTGCCCTGCGAGCCCCTGTGCCCAGCAGGGAAGGGCGGGAGCTGCCCTCAGCCGCCGGTCACACCCGGCCGCGGTGGTGTCCCAGTGAGGAAGATGATGCATATTTGCAGGACCTGCAATAACAGCAGAGGAGAGGCAGTCGTATCAGTATTTTGAGCTGTAAGGTTTTATTTAGAACCAACGTGTTGGAAGAACGGCACGTTTCTGGTCACAGTGCTGACCGTGTTAGCCATGGCCCTTAAGAGGAATCATATTTTTCCTGAATAAAACCCAGTTGTTGCTGTTCGCTGTAATTTTTGGTCTCTGCCAGGAGGTGCTGGGATGTGGCTTTGCTGTTGGAAAGTTATTTCACAGCTGTGCAGAGAAACAGAGCTTGCAGAAGCACCCTGCCATAAAAATGATGGAGTTTCTGATAGGGGCTCTCTGGAGGGGCGTCCTGTTGCTTTGCTTGGCCGTGAAGGGTTAATG